AATTGTGTGTATAGGTTTTTAATTGTATATTTCTTTATTGTTTTTAACAAGTTGTGAGCCACCCAGAGTCCCCCACTGGGGGGAGATGGGCAGGGATAAATCTAATAAATAAATAAATAATAAAGAGACAAAAAGTGTCCATCACTGTTGAATCCAATGATGGTTTCTTGAGTGGGTGCACACCTGCCTCCTTCAAGGCAAGCAGTACCACTCTCCTTTCAAAGATGCATTAACTCTATGGAATAGCCTCTCCCCTGAGATCTGGAGGCCCCTAACCCTCCTAGCCTTCTGGAAGGATGTGAAGATGTGGCTTTTCTCATTCAGGTTCTGGACCAGTATGATAGATGAGCCCAATATAGTGATTGTGCAATTGAGTTTGTCATACAGTGCTTAAGTTATTGCTGTATTTATTTATTTATTTATTTATTTATTCGGCTTGTATGCCGCCCATCTCCCCCACGGGTGACTCTGGGCGGCTCACAATTAACATTATGATCATGTTAATTATGTTTCTTATGTTGGATTTATAGAGGTGTTATTATATTGTTTTTGTTATTTACTGTTAGCCTCCCAGAGTTCATATGTAAGATGGACAGCCTTATAAATTTTATAAATAAATAAATAAACCATCACTTGGATGCAGCCACATGTCACCCTCTGGGCAGTCTTAACTAGCCAGGTTGGGTATGGATGTAAAGGACAGATGACCAGATTAGCAGTCCTAAGGGTCCTGTCCACTTTAGGAGTTACAGAGTCAAATGCCTTCCAAATAACAGGACAGAATAGTGCCTTGGTCAACTCACATGGAGTCTCTCAGTTGGAATTTAACTCAGAGTGGATCTGAATGATGTTGTTCCTCATAAAATAATTTCTCTACTAGTACTATTTTTCAAAGTAATAGCTTATAAGTGTTGGGTTATTCTGCCAGAGAGCAAAACTGTTGGCCAGAGAGCTGAGGAAACCTGCTGTGTGTCCTGTCCTCAGGCTGGGTCAGTCAATGTGAAGTTGTAAATCCAGCAAGCAAAGACAGCGTCATAGATACAGTCCAAGTTCAAAGGAAAGAGAGTTCACAGGGCAAGACTGCGCTTACGGTCTGAGTCAATCCAGGATTAAAGTTTACAAGAAAGCACAGCACGTTTGTAGCATCGGACATGACCTACAAGGTTGGGCTGTTATAGAAAGTATTCTAGAGCTAGATTACAAGAAGCTGTAAGCCACTGCACACAGTCAAGGCAAACCAAGAAGATAATAAATGTTACTTTTACTAAAAGAAGTGACACACAGAAACTGAGTCTCCTGCCACAAAGAGAAGGTTGGGCAGTCCATTATGAGGTTGGGCAAGAGAGGCACAAAAATGTTGAATAGTATACTTGTTCTCAGTGACGCATCAGTCATTGGAATCCTTTTATTTTATTAACGTTTCCTTTAATAAAAACTACTTGTTAGGAGTTCTTGTATTTTAAAGAGTGTGCTTGGTTAGTTCCAGCCATGACTTACTGGTTGAAGCCTGCCCCTGACTGAGCACAACTGACATGGATCAATCCTGCTTTCCCATCACCAGGTGCTACCAGGTTTTGCCACCTGTGCCAGGCCAAGAGGATCCTCTGTGCAGCTGGGCACTCTGCTACTTCTCGACTTTCTAATTCTACAGTATCAAGGATATTGGGAGTAGTAGATCCTAAAAGCTTCTTTCTGCTGTTGTTAGGGTTGGGACCTAAGGATGAGTCAATCAGGAACATGATGTATTTCTTGCAGTTGTGGCTGTTAAGATTTTTTTTTTAAATATGAGCAACATACAATATAAATCTCTTCCTTGTGACAAGGCAACTTAGTTGATTTTGCCAAGATTACTCAGCCATGACTAAGTGGATTTTTGAGATTTGGTTTATGTATGACAGATAGTATCTGCATATAGAGTGCTTCTGTTCACTATTCTTGCCAGTCAGCTATATCCTGTTTCATGCACAATTTTTTGCCTCCATCCTGAATCAGTCAACTGCCTTAGTCCTAAGTGGGTGTTGAAGACTTCGGTCCTATTTAATTAGAGATACTGATTGAATTCAGATATCCAGATTTATTAATAGAGGAAAATGGAGAACTTAAGATGAAGTCCAGAGAACAATTGGATTTAGTTTCAATGGTTTTCAAATGCACAATTAAGAGAAAGATTTAATATAGATAAAAAGGTAACTGGAATTGAACAACATAAGACAGCATTTGAAACTGAATTGTGAATGAATGATGAACACGTGATTCCAAAAATGTATAAACTTTTGTTAAGATTTGAAATGGAAGAAGAACAAGTTAAAGATTGTATGATAAAATGGGCTATGAATTTTGGTTATAATATATAGAC